GCTGAATGAGGCTGTAAATCCGCTTTCTCCTGGGTGCAGTTTCTCAGAGCGTCGCGGTACAGAACTATCACAGGGAGAAGGATGTCGCCACATTACAGTTGCACACACACGCACACACAAACACGCACATGCACACACACTATTTCTACCTCCTACAAGGCATAAAATATAACCCATACCATCAACAGCAACCCACTCAGAGGACTTAGGATATACACAGAGCACAGAGCTCCATCCCACATTAACCAAACACAGAGAGCTCTCCTCTTGAGGCTTCTCATCCTCACTGGCCTCACTGGCACATAATCTTCCTCTGCCACATCCCTTTTTCCTCACAGCTTACACTGCTTATGATCAAATCATGAAAACAGAGTCAAAAGAAGGGAAAAAAAGCAGCACAACAAGACTCTCACTGAGTGACGACTGCAATTTCATGCCATAATGGAAATCAGCATTGTGTATAAAGAAAATAAATGATGGGAGTATTTTTTAAATTTCTTTTTTTGCAGTTCAAATGTAACTATGACAGGTCTAAATGTATGATTACAGATATTTTTTTATTTTTTATATATCTGTAATGTCACTTAAGGGCAAATAGCACCAATTTGAAGCCTTTTAAGAGGAAAAAAAAAACCTTCCATGCATTTTCATTTTACCTTTTCATTTGCTGCTGCCTTTCTGCCAACATCACACTGCAGTGTCCAACTTCTTCAAAGAGGAAATGTGGCGGGTGTTCCTACAAAGCTGCTTTGTAAACATACGTTACTTGTGGAGCTAATTTGATTCAGATGAGGAGATTTATGTGCAGAGCCGAGGAGATGAGGGAAGTTGTTGTTTTTTTTTTTCTGAAGGGTAGAATCGTCAATTATTTTGGAACAGATGGGTCTCAAAGTGCAATTGAATTTGATTATCGCCTCAATGGAATACATAATGAAAGAGCCCTAATTTGAAGAGAAAGTTATGAGAAGGCCATTTCAATTACTCCACAAACTAAACCGAGGTGCCAGCCTCACACCGCAGACTCAGGCACTCGGATGATTTTCTATTTCTCATTTTCTGTCTTTCTTCCCTCCTTTAATGACAGCACGAGTGAATCATGATGAGCACAGCTGTTTATTTTTTTTGCTTGTTTCTGAAATCTGCCCCCAGCTGCATTCTTGAAAGCCTCATGCTTTTGTCATTGTTAATTGATTACCACTTTTCGTGAAATACAACTTTGTTTTTTCATTCTATTATCGACACCCTTGTTACAAATAATAACAGGCTAGGGACCTCAGCCCCGTTGAAATCACTTGACAGATTTGGAGTAAAGAATTGTCTAACGGCGCCAGCATCGAACAGATTATTACAGATTTAAGATGTTTTGTCCAAGAACGTTCAAAAAATCCTGACAACCTGTCAGGCGTGATTGCTCCACTAACAGCTTTCCTTTACTTAACTGGTGATCGACAGATACATTTTTATCTGGTTTTTTTTTTGTTTGTTTTTTTTCTCTCAGGTTCAAGAGTTTACACTGATTAAGGTTTTCACAGAACTTATTTGATCTGTTCCGACACTCGGGCTTTTTGAAAACTTTTCATCAGCTGTTCCGTCATTTTTAGAGCACGTGCACGTCGATCACAGCTCCCTGCGAAAACGACTTTAAAGACGTAATTGCTGTTGAGTGTTTAAGAGTTGATCTTATTCAAATGGGAACATGTTATGAGGGAGGTTTATTCGTATGGAAGGGAATGGGAAATCGCTAAATCCCAGCATGCAATGTGATGTGACCCCAAAAATGGTAGAAAACACACATTACAACCAGGAAGTAGTCGTTCAAACTAATGAAAATATTCCTATAACTTCTCTCTTAAATCGATCGTAACATTGACCCAAATACCGAAATAGAACATTTCTCTAATTGAATATAGTATCAGTGATATAAAGATTTCCTTGGGCAAACGTATGACTCCATTTAATGAAATATTCAAGTCAGACTAATGGAGAGATACAAACTCCTTAAAGGTCGTCTTACTAAAGCTGTGAGAGGTGCTGCTTTAATCTGAAGCCGTTATCCAAACAATACAACTGTTGCAATAAAGAATTTCTCCGATAATTTCGTCTGTCTCTGATGTCAAGCGCTTGAACCGCGACACCTCCAGCCACAGACACTCCAGACAGATGGCTGGGACCCACCGGAGGTAGGCTTCCCGCCACGCCTGATAACAAGTTTCCCGGGCTATATAGGGCAACGGTGGCTGTAAACACAGCAGCCTCCAGTGGAGCGAACAGGTGGCCCGCCACATAGGACCTCTCGTCATGTGGTGCGTCCACCACAAAAGTTCCATTATGAGGAAAAGTCTTTTTTCCTTTGCTATAATGGCCTCAGATCTGTTGATGGAGAAAATAACAGAGCGAAGATGCTTCTGGGAAATCAAATCCACCGCCCTGCACCCAAACATTGCTGCTGAGAAAGAAAAAAACCCAACATGAGGCGTTAGCTTCAGTCTAGCAAAAACAAAACTAAAGCCAGACCAGTCCCTGGTCATCAGTATCTTTTTTATCAACTTAATTTCCTCTGTGCTGCTTCACAATGACAAGAAGGCTGGCCTAGTTTGGAGCTCTGAATAGAGGTTTTTCTCATTCCAATCGTTTCCTCCATGTATTTGTTTTCAGAGGCAGTATCCTCTGGTGGGTGGGGGTGGGGGGTGGTGGGGTGGGGGGGCTGATAATGTCACAGAGGAAGGAAAGTGATGGTCTGCCTGGTGTTTATACAAGACTTTGGCATTTGTTGTCATTGGGTCTGCCGTCATTGGCAGGCAAGTTGCCACAGCGTCCCTTTCCATCCTCCATCCTCCACACACATGCTCACACACACACACCCTCCCAACTCTGACCCATATAGGTGCTTTGAACCGCTGGCAGGCCCGACAAGATTATCTGGGCCCCCTTCCCAGGAAGGCCACTGGGATGTGGGTGCGTGCGTGCGTGCGTGTGTGTGTGTACATGAAACATATCTAGAAATGTAAGCGTGCTGTCAGCCTCGGCATGTGCATGTACGTACGCAACGCTGCTGCAGTTTGTGACAGCACTTTGGAAGCTGTTGAAAGAGATGTAAGGTTTAGTCTCCAGGTGGTTCTCTTCTTCAGACTCACTGAAGGAGCAGGGAGGAGGATTTTGAATTTTGAATTTAGGATTTTGGAAATTTCTCAAGGGAAGGCAGAATTCTCTTTTATTAATATTCTGTATGACTATACCACAAGCTGGTTTAGTCAAGGCTTTAACAACCATTAAAAACCGATGTTCTTTGATCCAGGCAGGCCTCTCCTTGCTGGGTCACTGTGAGAAGCCTCTATGCAATAATATAAAGGAAATACTAAGTGATTAACTCTGAAAACCAAACAAACTTTCCTCCCTAACTGTGATGACTAATGTGCTGCCGGTTTGTCCTCTCTTCCATCTTGATTACATAATCCCCAGATTAATTAGCTGTGTGTTTCAGTCACTTCCTGTAGCGCGACCCTCAAATGGGCTCCCTCCGCAATCTGGCCTATCGACTTACAGGGCGCCAGAGCTTTTTCTTTGAAGGCCGCCTCAGCTTCAGAGGCAAAAGTACTCTCTGATCTGACGGCTAAAGGAAAAGGGCCCCTGCGGTGTGCCGTTACAGACTGATAAAAACCTAGAAAAACAACATTTGGGTAACACACACACTCGCAGGGAGAAAAAAAAAAACAAAAAAAAAAAAAAAAAAATTAAGAATAATCTGGCTGTGAAAACAAGAGGCGGTATGGAACAATGACAATCTGGCTCCTTTGGTAATTTCCTGTCGGCGTTCATTCGTGTGATGTGGTCGTGACTGTTCTGCCGGGATCAATCAAACCTGCGAGCAGATGGCATCGCACTCCTCCAGTGGACTGGGGATTGTCTGTGTTTTTTACAGAGACGGTAATTGGCCCGCTATGTCACGGACCGGAGCGCGCTAACAGCCACTGCCACCTCCGGCGTGCAGCAACAACACGTGTCTTCCTGCTTTGTGCGGCCCGTAAATGTCGTACCTGAGCTACAGCCTCCGTTTCGTATAAATCTAAATTGTGTTAAACATTGTTATAATTAACATGCTGTGATGATTATTTCAGTAAGAAAAAAAAAAAACACATTTCAAGTCATGACAGTAACAGACACCATAAGTCCAAATATTTGGACCTCTTTGGCTGCCGTACTATAGCCGTACACAAGAGTAAAAGATATCGCCTTCTGGATCTGAAACTGTGCCGTATTTGCTAACAGGGTTTGCATTAAGGTGAAGAAAGCTTATGTGGATAAATGGAACCGTGTGTGGGAAACTCAGCAAGCTGTATAAAAGAGAGGCGCGGTAATTGCATGTGTACTGTATGAGTCTGGTGTGTATGTGTGTGTTTGTGTGTGTGTGTGTGTGTGTGGCTAAGACGCCGGGCACTTCAAAGCTTTGATGTTGGAGCTCCTAAATGAGGGCCACCAGAGGTCCAGACTAATGGGACATCATGGGGAGATTAGAGGCCAAGTGTAGCGGGCTGACAACACAGCATTATGTATGTGTGTATGTGACTGACAGAGAGAGAGAGAGAGAGGGAAAGAGAGCATGGGTTCCTGTGTGTGGGATTTCCTGTGTGTATTCTTTTTGCAATTAAAAGTGAAAGTTTGCTCTCCCAAGTCTCAGAAGGAGTTTGCGGAGAAATGGACGGGAAGTATTTAGTTGTGTTGACAAGTATCGCAGGAATGTGAGTAATGCTAAGAAAACACTGCGTCAGTCAAACCTCCATGTTCTTTTACCCCAAATTCATAAATGTATCACAGTAAAAAAAAAAAAAAAAGTCTTGACCAGCTCTTTCCACAGTATGGTATAAATCCTTTATTAAATAATCATAACAATAATTATAATAACAATCATAAAAAGAGCTTTTCTGTACAAAGACCCCTTTAAAACAACAACAACAGCAGTCCGAGCAGTGCGAAAGGGGGGGGTGGGGGGGTGGGGGGTTTGGGGGGTCCTGTTCTTTTACATGTTTTGGTCCTCCCGGGCTGAAGGGGGCGCTGTGACTGTCACTGTCACTGTCACTGTCAAATTTACTGTATCTGATACCGGCTCCAAAGGCAAGCTGGATCCCCGAGGCTCCAAGGCACTTTGAAGAGAGTCAGTGGGGTCCAGAGATGCGGGCCTCAGAGGAGAGGGACGGCTCGTGTGTGTGTGTGTGTGTGTGTGTGTGTGTGTGTGTGTGTGTATACATGTTGAGGGAACATGGGATGAAATGTTGAGCTTATGTGTGTGTGCAGTGAATGCACGCCATTTATGTACTTCACGGTCTCAAATATATACCTCTCAGCAGCAGCCATTATTCCCTTCATTTTTTCCTCTCGTGTGTGTGTGTGTGTGTGTGTGTGTGTCCAAAGTTTCATGTGTTTCTGAGAGAGAGAGGGCGGGTGTGTATTCACGGCCTGTATATACATCTGTATATACAAGTGAAGTAATGTGTGTGTGTGTGTGTGTGTGTGTGCATGTGCATGGGAGGGTCTCTCACCCTCGCCTTCTCATGGCTTATGAGTCCATTCACATCGTGCAAGACAAGACTCTTTTCTGATTGGTTCAGAACCGCCCCGAAGAACGCCCGCCTTGCTGTGCGAGAGCCGACATTAAAATAAGATTTTTTTAAAAAAATGAAAAAAAAAAAAACAAATAAAAAACACAAACTTCAGAAAACAGGTCGCAGTTAGCCAGCAGGTTGATTTGGGTGGGGGGGGGTGTGATGTGTGTGCATGTGTGTGTTGGGGGTGGGAGGGAGTAGGTCCTTTAAATCATGGCTTTTGAGGTCCACATGTAAAGAGAGAGAGACAGAGACAGATAGCTCCTCTCTCGTCCTGGTGTTGCCTCAACGTTCCTTTTTCAACTTTTTCTGCAAACAGTTTTCTTTTAAGGCTTGTAGTGTGTCCGGGCACACAGTCAGTCAGTCAGTCAGTCGATTGAGAAAGCAGTTTCTGGCTGTGCATTTGTTTTTGATCCCATTTGTTTTTTTGTCCTTGCGAAAGCACAGAGAGAACATTACCCCTGTGTGAGAGAGAGAGGGAGAGGGAGGGAGGGAGGGAGGGGATTTTAGTGCTCTGTCAGTCATAGTCTCTCTCACTCTCTCTTTGTTTCTCCCTCTTTCTCCAGTGGTTCTCAGTCTCTGCTCTTCCCAGCAATCCATAGGTTGCACCGACCAAAGCTCCTTGACCTTTTACCATTAACCACAATGTAAACATGACCTTCTCTTTGACAGGAACCAGCAAACAACAGTCTCCGACAACTAACTCTAACAATAACGTCTCTCTGTCATTTAAAAGAATGTGTTAAAAATCCCCCCTCCCCTCCCCACCCCCCCGCCTCTACACACATACATTTCTTTCGTTTTTTTTTTTCTACTTATCCGCCATCACAGAACGAAAACATTAAACAGAAAGAGAGTGACTGAGCTGAAAGACAAACTGGGAGGGGAGGGGAGGGGGGGGGGATGTCGGTGACTAAAAATACCACAGACTGTCAGGAACTAAGGGGATAACGGAGGCTGATAGGTAGCAGAGTCTACGACGGAACAAAACAAAACAAAAAAAAAAATCAACGGGCCACACGAAGGAGCTAAGTTCTAGGCCACTGTGTTCACACGTGATCAAAAAAGACGCTTTCTAAGCACGTTCCTAACCTACCACCTTTCCAACACAATGTGTTCTGACTCAGTATGTGTAGCTTACATTATCCAGTTTCAAAACTAGACCTCTTACAAATCTATGATGCATTTATAAACAGTTCTCTTTTGGTGGAGCAGGAATCTGTAATTGATATGTGTAGATATTTACTTTTTGAGGCCTAACATCACCGCAATGGCACAATCCATCTGGGTAACCCCCTGCCTTTCTCTCATTGGTTCTTTCACCACAAACGCTACCAAACACCGGACAGCGCCACGTTTTCCCAACGGGAAACGAGTTCTCGTTTGAGCTAAAAAAAAAAAGAAAAAAGAAGTGGCCTTCTTGTTGTCCATGCGTCCAGGGATCTGCACCACTGAGGAAGTAAACTGACACTAAAGTGAACTGGAGGAAATGAAGAAAATAGTGAGAGGTTTTCGCAAGGTGGCTGTATCTCTCGCTCTTCCGTCTCCTCTCTCTCACGCCTCGGTGCAGCAGCGCTGTTGGTTCAGTTTGACCTTGTGCTTGAGGCCGTCGTACAGTTCGAAGTTGTAGTTCTCCAAGGTGGTGGAGGAGCGCGACGACAGGCCGCTGTAGGAGCAGGTGCAGTACAGGAGGAGGCCGGCGCACACCGCCCCGAGCAGGACACCCAGGGAGCTCATGACGATGATGGTGACCAGGATGGGGTCCAGGGTGTAGAGCCACGAGTTGTCCTTCTCTGAGACACGGGTCACCGGGGGATCGGACGATGGGGATGGTGTGTTCCAATCGGGGAACTGTAAACCTGTGACAGGAGGGGAGGGAATAGACCTTGTTAACATTTGTGGCTTGATGCTACAGAGACAAAGTAATGTATAGTACTTCAGAATGTGACAAAACAGACACTCATGAAAAAGGTGCTTACCTCCACCTAGTGGGTCTCTGCCGCTGAAAAGTCGCCCATCTCCGAATTCATTGGGTTTCTTGACTGTCAGAGAAAAAGCACAGGTGACACGGACTTTAAGCATCGAGCGCATCCTGCACATAATCATCGTTACACAGCACAGCATGTATGCAAAAGAGACGGTGCTAAGGTGGAGTAGAAACTCATCTCCTGCTCACAGATTCAGCTCTTTAATCCAATTTGTAATCAATTTGTGGTTGATGGTTATTGTAAATGAGATCTGGCATCCCCACACACACACACACACACACACACACACACACACAGACACACACACACATACACACACACGCACACACAAGTCTTGGAATAATAGAAAAATATGACTTTATTAATAGAGAAAGGTCATTATGATACATTCAAACACACAGTCATCACATAATATACTGATGGTATAAGACTGATCATTCCATGTGAATAAAGATGCAAACATGTCATCGTCAAATAATTAACATTACCCATCATTATCACCGTTAAAATCATCGACACTGTTACTGTCAAGGTTAAGAGTGGTGTATAAGATGAAAAAGAAAAGAAAACAAAAAAAAACAGCGACAAACGTCAACATTTAAGAAGTGCTCGTGACAGTCTTGTGAAACTCACAACGCTGCCAGGCGATGTCCGTATGGAAAACTGATATGGATGCGAGTGTCTGAATGGGAAGATTACAAGTGTGGTAAAAACTAGCAGTGGGTACAGCCCCCATAGCTCAAGTGCACTCATACTTTAGATGAGTTTTCTTTTCACTTTTTCTTGGTGTATTTGTGTCTATGTGAGTGTGTGTGTGTGTGTGTGTGTGTGTGTGTGTGTGTGTGTGTGTGTGTGTGTGTGTGTGTGTGTTTTTGCGCTTGCTACTCTTGGCAAGCGTTCAGGAGTGGGAGTAACTGCTTGGCAAGGCACACGTCTAGATGTGGAGGTCTTTGATGGCCAATGGCGTTATTAATACTGTTTCCAGGGCAACGGAAGTTGGCAGCAGATTGGGTGGCGGAGGTGCGGCGAATGGGAGGGAAAAGTGCTTACCGCAGCCTTCATAAATGTTATCTGTCCATTAACTAATTACGACTATTAGAGGCTTGGAGCTTAACGGTGTCGAGATGGACGAAGTAGGGTGTCCAATCCCTCCTCCCCAAGTTGATTTAAGAGCACATAGTGAGAGCATGCCAACCCCCCCCCCCTTCCACCACCACTCTGGAGAGAAAAGAGCAGCTTTCTAAATTGTGGCAACAAATTGAGGTGCATTCTGCTGAGCTGTGGGCAAGTAGGTGATGGATTTTTTTTTGCTGGTGTGACAGATCACGAGAGCACGCTCCGCTAAGCCACAGAGTAAAGACCTCAATTTCATTCAATCCAGGGCGTCACCACCTTTGTACCAACTGATGAGAGAGGAACTGTCACCAATTTGTCATTCTCACTCAGATTTTTTAAGGAATTTCACAATAAAATAGGCGTTTAGATCCCAGATATGTTAAATATTAGTAAGAAGTGCATTAACTACGTCTATTCTGATGTTAATAGCCATTCATGGCGTCTTATGGCACTAAAGGAAGAACCATCACTGGCTGGAGCTCTGGTTTTCATAATGTCTTGGATCTCTCTCAAGGGTGCACATATACAGCAAAACACTGCACTTATGACTTCCAGCTGGTGCAGCGGCATTGTGGGATTTGTAGGAGTATAAATCAAGTAAGAAGTGGTGATGGCAGACAGCTGTGTCTATTTACAACCCTAAAAACAACAAGCACATATTCACACTGAAAACACAATACGGCTCGGCTCGGCTCGGCTTTCATCTGGGCAGCTTAAAGACATAGGGAACAATGGGAGTGGGTGGTATGAAGCATAAATGGGAGTGGAACAACGTGCTTTATTACGCCAGAGAATCAAGATGAAACACTAAACACTGAAGACGGCTGCATCCATCACTGACTGATGCCTTTATCAGGAGGAGACAAGACGTTCAATCAAACGAGCTAGTTATCTCCATTTGTGATGCAGGACTTTAAGTATGATGGATTTGCATTCCTTTGTTTTTAAATGTGCACATGCTCTGTTGAAAAGGACAATGGAAGGATTTTTCTGCTCCTCCGTCACAACACCCTCACTACTGGTACAACTCATATCACAGCTATCTCGTGTTGTTATTACAGAGATACCAAGAGCTTTATTTTCTGGGGCTTGCCAGATCATTTCCACAGCTAGCACAATGAATGCCTCTCAGCCTAACAGTTTTCTCCTCTCTCTCTCTCAGCACTGCAGAGCTCCTCATGTCCCTGGGGTCTTGTTTTAGCCTGTGGTTTGGCAGCTCTGGCTGGCTCTCGCAGCGGAACCAGATCGACCCCCTCCTCTTCCCAGCCCACACATGTCTGTGTGTACGTCCATGCTGGGGTCATTCCAGGAGGACCGTTGGGGTTATGAGGAGCCAGACGGCACTCAATGGTCCGAAACAAGCTGTTCAGATAAATAACTTACTCAGACTTCAGTCCTCTCATCAGGAGCAGCATAGTGTGAAATGTCAACAGCAAACTCCTTAATGGAACAAAGAAGAAAACAGCAACCGAAGCTACATCCATGAGCGACAGAGAGAGAGAGCACAGTGTTTCTTTGCAAATTTTCACTTGGCAGTTTAGGACAACGTCTGTGTCATCATCACCCTTGCAACTGTAAACTAAAGCAGAGAGGGGTTCGTCAAGTGGATGTTCTGTCAAACCTGCAGCATCACGACACACACTGCCACTGACATCACAAGCTGGCGTCCTCCTCTGCCAAACACAACCCAGCTAAGTGTTTCTTTTCAGCAGAGGGTTCGGTGTCGGTCCCGGCTGTCCAATCTCACAGTCAGGACTGGCTCCACCCCTGGGGTGGCCATACTGGAGGACCAGTTAGAATACTGGAAGCACTGCGAGGAGCTGTGATAGGCCACTGACAGCTGGCTCTTCTTGGTGGCCAGGTGTTGTCGGCAGCAACAGAGGGCTCTGACCAAGATGGCCACCGCCAGGAGAAGGAGGGCGCCTCCGGCGGCCATAATGTAATACCAGTGGATGGGCAAGGGAGGCACAGGAACGCCTCCCCCTGGTGGAGAGATACAGAATAATTGGCCAGCGGGAAAAGAGAGGAGTGGCACTTGTTTATTTTCTACATTTAATTCTCTATTTTCTATCCCTATGTCTTCATCATACCAACAGCAGGCGTGCACCTCATATGAGCATGCACAAGCATGCCAGTTGCAAAAAATAAAATAAATCTCCAAGGCCAAAAAAAAAAAAAAAAATGAAAATGCATCCATTTCTCTCATGTAGCTTGTTTTTGCAGTTGGAGGACAAGTTTTCACACCAAGATCATCAAGAGGTTTGGTTTGAAATCAGTCCAATGGTTGATCCAATCAAATGCAATGCAATTACATGTTTTCAAAGCTCAAGTGAAATGACTTGGTGTGAAACGAAAGCTAAAATCATTAGTTATGAGAGCACCCACACACATTGAATTAAGGAGCTTCCTCTTCCTGTTTCGATCTGGCACAGGAAGTCACAACCAGCCCCCTAATAAAGCCTCAGTATCATGCAAGAATCAGTCGGACACCACATGGGAATCCAATGTTCCAGGGCTCTCTCGGAGCTGATATTGGATTGGGATTTGTTATTTAGCTGGCTTGAGTTGGCAGATTTGTTTTGAGTACATAATTTATCCCGTTCTCTGTTCTTGGTTTTTCATTTTCCCTTTTTCTCATGCATCAGCCTCCCGGCCAGTCCTCTCCTCCTCAAGCCAAGCGCTGTCTCCTTGGAGACTATCTCCACAGATCCTCTACACTGCTGCCCCTGGCTTGAACCCTCTTCTCAAATTCTTGGTAAGAACCAACTAATCACCTTCCAAGAAGCCTCTACTCGATAATCCAAGTCTGCTATGCAAAAAACGAACCCCTGAAGACATTGTAAAACTAAAAAATAGAGCCCACATGTACCTTCCAAACTTGATGTGGAGAGCTGTAAGACTGAGAGAATGTCACACTGAACTAGGGAAAGCGAAGCAGAGCTGAATACATCCTGATTTTTGGACCGTGTCACATAATTACAGAGGGAAATGGTGCGTGCTCCTTCTACTTCACACTGCACACACTCATTAGACAGAGTCGAGTTAGGGAGAGGAGAGAGACACCCGTGCTTGCTGCCGCTCAGTCACTCTGATTGCATTTCACTGGGGACACTGGTGTGTGTGTGTGGTGATATTCATGTGTGTTTGTCAAGGGTTAGAGACTTTGAGTGAGCGTGTGTGTGTGTGTGTGTGTGTGTGTGTGTGTGTGTGAAGACGGAAGAGTAGAAAAGCCGAAGAAGTGCACACACATCACATTCGCACTGCAACCGCCAAGCTCTTATCTTATTGGAAGACATTATGAGATGCCAAAACACTAACATCAATCTCATAGAGTCCCCCAGGAAGCTCTAAATATTTTTCATGAAGCAGACAGTTATTTAAAACCCTTCAGGCTGTGTCAGGCAGCCTAGAACTGAGAATATGTAGCTCTGTTCAAATATCTGACTCCATGAGGTGCGCTTGATTCAGCTTGCCTTGCACGCACAGTTTGCTCTTTTGAGACTAATCCTTTGTTTCCACTGAGACTGACAAGGTAAAACTAATGCACCACGACACATTACTGAAATAATCTATTTTCCAACTTGGTTAGAGTTTGAGAAAATTCACTCAGTATTTGCAAATTTTTAATAATTTAGATTTTAGCGAGGGGGTTTGGTGTTTGTTTGGTGATGTCTACATGCTCCCACAGCTCCAGATAGAGACTCCGTGGCTCATTTGTTTAGCGGTCGAGACAACTTAGTGCCACCAAGCAAAAAAACCCCAGGCTAGTGCACATACAAACGGGCAGGAAGCAAGACCGGAGAGGAAGTGACATCACACCAAAGTCAAACTCACCTGGATTTTCGGGAGAAAACGCTGCGAAGGGTTCTGCGAGGACAGAGAGAGAGCCGGGGCAGACATGGGGGGAGGAAAAAGAAAGAGAGAGAGAGTGAGAGCGGTTAGATAACTTTAAATACGAGGGAAAAGTCAGCCAAATGTCACACAAATGTCACAAGACTATCAAACTCCTCCTGAGGAAATTTAAGTTAATTCCTCAGATAACTCACATGAATTATGGCATTTACTCAGCTGCTTTGCTCGAATGCAATTTCAAACAGAGTGCGTTGTGTGAGCTGGGAATTCGAGATGGGCTGTGCTGAGAGTGTACGGGGCTACGTGCGCATGTGTGCGTCCGCGTTCGCAAAGTTCACGCATTTCAAGTTGTTTATCTGCGGAGTCCAGATAAACTGGAGCGGGCTGGGGCGTTTTGGCTTGCTGCAAACGCATAGAGCAGAACCTTCACTTTGATTGCCTGGAATGCAAACACAAAGAACTGGTGTGTGTATGTGTGTGTGTGTGTGTATGTGTTTCTGTGTTAGATGTATGTGTGTGTGGGGGTGGGGGGGTGGTGGTGGTGGAGTGAGAGACAAAGAAAGAGAGAAACCAACTTGGGAACTTGCGCCTTTTGGCGGGAACGCCAACGTACTGTGAAGAACTCTACTGTGCTGGGTGATAAGCAGCATCCCAGCATGCTCTGGGAGTGGCAAAGGAAGGGAGGGAGAGGAGTGGGAAACACTGCAGCGTGGAGGGGAGGGATGGAAGGGATGGGGCGGGGCGGGTGGGGGGGGGGGCTGTCGTCTTTGCCTTCCAAGCTCACTCTCTCCAGACTCTCATGACACACACACACACACACAAAAAACCCAATGGTAGAACACAAAGACGGGAAAAACAGAAGTGTTCGCAACAAGCCAGGCACATAACAAACACTCTTGCACACACACACTCATGCACTCACACACACACACTTTCCCTCAATTACACTTTGCCTTCTCCCCACTGTGGTCCAGCTCCAAAGCACACTGGATGTCAGTCAGAAGCGATGACGGCAGGTTTTTGGCTCTGAACCCCCGGCTCGCTCTCTGATCTGTTTAAGACCCTCTCCAAAGCCACTGCTCGGGCCAGATTAAGGAGGCTGTGCTGGCGCTCGGCTCACACCAGGCACCCAGAAAACTTGCTTGGGAAACAGCCTGTCTAGTAATTCCCTTTGACGGCTCGGGAAAAGCTCTGTTTACAAATATGATGCAGGAGTGAGTGCAAGAGAGATAGAGGGAGAGGAGGGAAAGAGAAGAAGAGAAATCTAATGAAACATAGATTAGCATCGCTGGGGCCCACAGGGCGTTTATGGCCTAGTTTTCCTATTCTTCTTTTCTTTTCTTTTTTTTTTGTGGAGGGAGTAAACGCTGTCCCTCCCTCTCCTTCCTCCTTTCATCTCGGTATTCGGTGGGCTCTTTGGTGGAGGAGAGGCTGTCTCTGAAACTGGGATGGGAGGGCCAGGGAGTGGAGGGTGGAGGACGGGGGGTGGGGGGTGTTTATCACTTCATGTGTGTCACTGTTCAAGGACCTTCAGGCTAAAAGTGGAGGAGGTGGAAGGGAAATAGAGTGAATGGCAGATTGATGGAGGGCGGGAGGATGAGGCGATGGTGGTGCTGACAGAGGATGAGAGGGAGCTGATGGGTCAAATGGATGTATGTGTGTGTGTGTGTGTGTGTGTGTGTGTGCGTCTTTAAATATTCTCCTGAATGGGAACGATTTGGGCGCGCGCATGTGTGTATACAGATTGCGTGTATGCGTGCAACTTACGTGTACACTCTTTCAGGGGGGTGCTGGAGCTCATTTGGATGTTGTCTATCCAGATGTGTCCTCTGGTGCCGCGCGCAAAGAAACCCTCCATCACAACCTACCACAGCCAAAAAACAAAGGAGGAAGAGGAAGGGGAAGGAGGAGGAGGAGGAGGAGGAGGAAAAAAAGTTGAGAAAGAAGAGGAAGATGGAGACAGGATGAAGGCAGAGATGGAGCAAGTGGGGGGTGGGTGGGGGGGTGGAGGCAAATTTAGAACGGGGACAAGCAGGAGGAGGAGGAGGAGAAAAAGGATAAAAACTTAATACAGTGCCTGTGATTTCAAAGTTGCACTCAACACTTGCAATCCTCCTCCCCTTCCCTGCAAGCTTCTTCAACTTACTTTTTCATGAGAACATTAACGACTTGTGATGTCTTTGACAAATGCACAGCAATCCCCAAACAATCGTGCAGCCGATAGAGACAACGCGGCTTACTTTAGCTCCTTTTGAAGTCAAACCTGGCCTAAGGTGACAGAGGTTACGACTGACGCTTTTATGTGCACTCAGATGAATACACCTCACACATTAAAGACATGCTCTCCGTCTGGGGGGACATTAAAGACATAAAGGGTCTGACCCAGATACCTATTTATCAAGCAGACTTTAATATAATATAACACTGATATTGGCCAGAATTTATTCCAATTCTTATTCTACCTTTAAAAAAATGTGGGTTTATTACCTGGAAGTCTTTAGGGGAGCGAGGCAGGATAGTGCGACCCTCCTTCCACACGCGGCCCTGATCTTCCTTCAGCGTCCAGAGGAGGGTCACCTCGTTGTGGGCGTCCCGCAGTAAGACCCTCAGGTGGCCCGGGGCCTCGCCCCACAGCTGATAGGAGAAGAGGAGGCAGAGGGGTCCGGTTTCGGCCGCCACCACGGGGCTCACGAGGTTGGCCCACTGCTGCTCCGTTGTCAGGCTGGTGTCCATGTACAGATAGCTGTTGAGCTCTGGAGGGGGTTGTGAGATCATATGTCAACACACTCTCTCCACTCCCCAAGACCCTGAATCCACATGTGCTACCAGTTTTGAAAATAACCTTGGAATAATTACTATATCAACAAAACGCAATGGGACTGAATGAAAAGTAAAAAAGGAAAAAAAACAAAACAAAACAAAAGACATTGGAGATTTTTACAGTGTGCAACCAAGCTGTTCTAGTAATTTTAACACAATGCCAGTAATGAGCAGAGCTTTGTTTTAACCTTGAGTTTGCTGGTTGCTCCATTGAAATGAGAGTGAAAAAAAAAAAAAATGTTTTAATAGGTTTTCATTTCAACCCTCGAGGCAATAAAAACGAGGAAATCTGAAAGGCTGTGTAGACTTTTATCCACTGTAAATGGATGCTGATGAGATGAGCTTGTGGGGCACAAAACGCAGCATGTGCGCAATCTGTGTACAGGCACATATATATCCCCTTATATACACATGTGCAGAGTGTGTTTTCACACAGTCACAGATATATTTCCAAAAGGACTCTCAAACAAAAAAAAAAAGAAACTAATCACCAGTTGCTAACAGGAACGGGATCACAACTGCACAATAGTCACCACACTACACAATAGGGATATGACAAATATAAACACACAGAAGAATAGGTCCAGTGTGAGCGTCATTCGAACACAGAGCGCTACCAGAACTCCTGCCAAGACCCCCAGGGGCCTATTTCTCTTCATTCCCTTCCAGGTAAACGACTTCGACAACGGAAAAGTCCAACAACACGCACGCCACTCCATTTGTTTACACCAGAGGATGTTTAGTTTGCAAATTGGATGCTGACACAAATTCCATTGTGAGGGGGTAAGATTGGTGAGCCTACTGTATGTATGAGTGTGTGTGTGTGTGTGTGAGAGTGTGAGTGTGAGAAAAGAGACAGGCCGTGTATGTGTGAGAGAGTGACTCAATGAGGCGTCTGGTGAAGAATTTCTTAAGTGGGCCCTGTGGGAAAATGTCCAGTATCAACAATCTGCAGATTAAATCACCTGCTTTATCATGAAGAACTGTGTGTGTGTGTGTGTGTGTGTGTGTGTGCATGTGGGGTCCAGCAAATATGGTCCTCTTTTAAAAGGAAAAAAAACAGTCTGACACATATCAGGGAGCACACAGGTATTTTCCAGAATATGAGCGTGTGTGTGTGTGTGTGTTCTTGTTTCCAAGGTGACGCCGTTATGTTTGTCTTTTATCCACATCTTTCTTTTTATCCAAAAACAAATGACAGTAGCAAGTATGTAAGAGTAGGAGTTTATGTTTTTAGGGCAGCCATGCTGAGTGACTGGGCCGATAACCTTTTGCTGTGTGTGTGTGTGTGTGTGTGTGTGTGTGTGTGTGTGTGTGTGTGTGTGTGTGTGGTCCTTCCAGTAGATCAGACAAGCAGTATCTGGAGGGACAAATCTTCCTCCGACTTGACAGCTCCCCTCTGCCCGCCATACGCCTGTGTGTGTGACACTTCAGACAGTGTGTGTGTGTGTGTGTGTGTGTGTGTGTGTGTGTGTGTGTGTGTGTGTGTGTGTGTGTGTGTGTGTGTGTGTGACAGTATGTCCCTTGGCCTTTTTGCGGCTCTAGAATGAATGTGTGTGCGCTCTTCCTTGCTTTTTTTTTTTTGGAGGGGTGTATATATACAGTATGTGTTTACACGCCTGTGGAGAGGATGTGCGAGTGAAACACTTTTGTGAGGCGTTTTATATCACTCATTCTAATGCGTGCGCCAAAGCCTCTTCCATCATCTCTGCCTCGTGTTGAAGTGCAGCGTCTTGCAGCGAAACCCCCATTGCTGTGCCTCTTGTTTGCCAGACAGCTCATAATTGAGACTGCCTCGCCATACGCAGCGAAACAGAGCATTATTAATCCATTTCACAGCGGTCTCCTGCAGCGAGAAGCAAACACGGATCCAATCTATGAAGCCTAGTTAGCACATTCTTATTAGCGGGGGTATATTAAGCCAAATAATACAACAGTGTAAGGCGGCTAATTCCAGCTGTGTTTCATGACCGAGGTCGAGAGGTGAGGAGATCATAGCTCCTGGGTCACATGAGAAAAAGGGGAACTCTATAGAAGATTAAACAGTGATTTGATAGCGCTGAAATAATGCCCCCGCGTTAGCTAGGATTTCTGACCTTTGACATCTGCAGGGAAAAATCAAAAGGGTGGTGTAGCGAGTTCAGAGCGGCTGCAAATGATACTCCATACATGAAAGCCACAAACTGGCTAATCTAAGCAACCCTTTCCAATCCGGCCGTGATGAAAGAAACTGCTTTGAAGCCCCCCCCCCGTCAAAGATGGTTATGACCTAAATAGGTCACGCTTCAGGAAAATGTCTTTCCTTTCCTGTTAGCTCCATTTGCTCTGCTGAACGTAACCCAGGTGACATCACAAATTTGACAAAGACAGGGGGGGCATGCTGAACTTCTTGTTCAATTCCATCCAGCTGGAGACAGATGCTGAATCTTTCATGGAGACTTGCTCAAAAGCAATGAATTTTATAACAAGGTTGGTTTAACAATCCTGTACCCTGCCTATGAAAAATTATAAATAGCACTATAAGAAAAATCCTCCTTAAACCCAGCAGGAAACGTCTTCTGTGGCTTTTAATAACACGCCAAAAGCTGCACTTTTGATCCTCGGGTATGTATAAAGGGAAAATGAATAATTATTTCTTCAAGGAGTGTCTAAGTAGATGGAAGTCCACACAGCATCATCTGGGATGTGCCTGAGGTAATTGAGGGGCAGTAAAGGGACGGCTGGGGAATAACTGCTCGTGTTTGGAATCTCCTGCTCTGAACTTAATTGGAGCTACTGGGTCTTAACCCCTTCCTGCCCGAGACGTCGGCCCATTTGGACGCGCGGCGCTGGAGAGCCGGCGTGTGTCACAGGCGAGGCTGTATGTGCTTGATGCGGCGGCGGTGTCTATTTCCCTCTGATTCCCTCAATCTATTTTCATTCTCATTCAATCGGAAAGAGCGGCGTGGCTGGCAGACTGCTAAATTAGACGGGTTTCAATTTAAGGAATTATTTTAATCAAATTGAAAGAGGACTCAATGAAGATGCACAAGGAGAACGAGTCCATTTAATTATAGAAAACTGTGTCTTGTCTAGACCCACTGAAGTTGATAAAAACAAACTTAATGCATTTGTGCTTGTGCAATTTTCTGCACCCAAATGAAATTCCTCTTGCAGCTGCATACATAACAGCTCTGCAGCAGTAAACCCGTGTTATACCAGAATAAAACCCGAGCTGCTAACTGCATTGTTTTGTAAAATTGAGCCTAACCCTCACTCCCGCAGGTCACTGTGTATCAACAGTTTGCTACATAGCGAAAAGCTGAAGCGGCTCTGAGTCGCTCTGATAAACGCTGACTCAGAATCTCCCACATAGACCGATAAGGAGTCTCACCGTGGCTGTGCAGGACCCAGAAGAGAGGGGCGTTTCGGTCGTGCGTCCACCCACACAGGCCGTGGTCGAAGTCGCACACGCTGTCTGATAGAGGAGAGGTGGCTCCTGCAGAGGTGGAGAGCGGCGGGGGAAGAGCAAGAGCCAAAGGGCACAAACGTATGAGAAATCACAAGAAGCATTCATTCAAGCAGCTCTACATCATGTCACACAGCCCATTCAGAAGCTTTCATCTGTACATTACAGCTCCCTAATGCCACTATTAATCCGCTGTTTCTTTTGCTTTCATGCAAAACACTCTCACCTGGCATCGTTGTAACGGGGACAGTGGTGGTTTCGATGTCGGTGGGCAGAGTTGGTGTGACCGTGTCAGCCGGTGTAGTGGTTTCTACAGGAACAAAAAAACAACAACACGATTCAGGTCAACGACAGCGGTATGAAACAATACCCAGACATTAGATTTCTGTAAGAGGAGGACACATTAATCACACAGTGTTTGTTTAAGTTGAGATTATTCATGTGGAATTTCTCCCTCTGTGTCATACATCAGGGAGGGACAGGAAGTACAGACAGGAAAGGAAATGATAAGCAACATAGGCAGAAAGAACCAGATAGGACCGAGGTACAGTGTCTTTATGTACCTTTAATAACTCTCAATTATTTTATTATTATTTATCTGTTTATTTTAAATGTTTAATGCTTAATCACTTTTGCTTTCTTGACACCTCTCTCATGCCTCTATGAGAAATATGTAGCTACAGCCAGCAGTGGGTTAGCTTAGCTTAGCATAAAGACTAATCTCTTATGCTAAAACAGCTGAGGTTGAGTTTTGAACAGGAAATCTAAAAGGATTTTTTTTAGCCATAATTCAGCAAATGAAGTTTATGTCTATTGAGGGTGAAAGTGCAGGCCTGAAAAATAACTGTATCTCCAGTCTCCTGTCTCCGTTCGGCCATCCCACCCAAAGTGCCAGAGACAGGCACTGATAGCCCTAGAGCACCCAAAGGGCCCCCGTCATGTTGTGTCTGGGTGCTCAGGCGTCAGTATCTGTCTGACACACTCACACACACACGCCGACTCAAATATGCGGACACCCAGATGCACGGGCGTACATGTCCACATGCAGATGCGGAGTTGCACACACTCCGCGCACGCACACGCACACACACACACACACACACACACACACACACACACACACACACACACACACACACACACACACACACACACACACACACACAGAACGCCTGGTGCTAAGGCTGATGGATGGATGTGTCTAACAAACTCCCCTCGACCTTGGACAGGATGATCACGCTCTGGGACCACTCACTAGGCTGTCAGGGAGGATACAGAGCACACACACACACACACACTCCATCTCCCACTCCTTTTTCTTGTGCATGTGTGAGCTATCGTGTTTGTGTGTGTGTGTGTGTGTGTGTGTGTGTGTGTGTGTGTGTGTGTGTGTTACCCTCACTCTATAACTCATGCGCATTTGAGAGAAGGGAGAACAAACGCAACGTGAAATGTAGGATTTTCTCTCTAACTTTAACATCTATTTAAGCATCTATCACGTAGGAAGGCAAACAACATACAAAGAAAAAAACAACAACAACTATATTCTGATTAACACGCGTCACATGTGCGCGCACACTGACACATGTTGAGCAGGCTGCGGTTGGAATGTGAAGTGGGAGAAAGCAGCGTGTTATTAGGAGCAGATGGGGTCGACCCTGGTGCGTTATGGGAGTTTACGCAGAGGTTCGGGTCACGTCTGCGCCAAAAGGATCCACATTTATCACGCGAATAAACTGTGGAGTCTCAATTTCTGTCTGTATAAGAGTCATTAACCGCACATGTTTACACACGGTCACTTGTTTTTGTCACATTTCACTACCCCAACAGTCAAAACATATTGCACTAATTTGACATTAATTATCACTGAAATGCGAATGTGGATTATTAGTGAGCGTGTTATATTTCATATTCCTTTTGTTAGCTTTCCATGCCTTGTCTCATTTAAGCCTATCCAAACAACTCTGAGGGTTGGATGCCTGGTGATCTCATGTGAGACCGAGCTCATCAGTCGGAAAAAGAAACACAACAAGTGTGCAAGCAAGTAAAAAAAAGGAAAAAAAAAGAGAAGTCGCATGGATTTCCCCTGCTGAACGCCTGTTAGTGGCAATACTAGAGCCTCCTACTGTTAATATTCCTCTTTCTGCATGACCACGCTCATCATTTATAGACTATGAAAGGCGCTAAGGGAAACAAACGCAGCGTGATGCACAATTGATCCGCTCAGAGGAACTTCCTGTGGAAATGAGTGCGATGGCGCCCCAGCTGGAGAAATGGCAAACATGAAAGGGCCGGCCACAGCTGGCGACAGCTCCTGACATTAACCCGCCGTTAATGTCATGTCCTTTACGCCAGTCATTAACGAGCTAATGAGACTCTTATCGCTGCTGGCCCCCACCGGAAAAAGGTAACCTCAAACCTCCTCCTCCTGCCCATGTTTCAAATGCGAGACCACCTCTCGTTCCTCTTCTTCTTTTCATTCTCTCCCTCGCGCTCATTCTTCTCGTTTGTTTTTGCTTTTTTGTGTTTGCCTTTTTATTCCGGTCTAACCTTTCACTCCTCCAGTTAAGTCTCGGGACAAGGCGTTAAAATAAACCAAGCGCCTACACATTACCTGGGTGCGTATAGCTAAACACACATAAACACAAAACACACAAGCTCTTCCATTAAGATTCTGCCCGGGCCCTGAGCACTCTATGCTTTCAAAGGTCAGGCCTTGTCACAGTGTAAATGTGCTGACCTTTCCGGGGTGTGACAGGAGTGTCAGGGGCAATGGGAATGGGACCGACTCGTGCGTTTGTGTGGGGGCGTGTGTGAGTTTATGCGGGACAGAGTAAGAATGAACGTATGTGACCTGCCGACCCCCCCACCCCCCACCCCCCAGCCTTGATGTGTGTGTGAGGAGCGGCGTCACACGAGCGGCGTGAGGAGGAGACAGTGCATGCGCAGCGGAAGCCTTTGCGATGCAGGAAAAAAAAAAAAAAAAATGTCCCTCTGCAGCGGAGTGTTGTCTTACATAATGTGTCTACCGCTGCAGGTGATGATGCAAGTCATCATCATCATCATCATGCGCGGGATGAGACGCCAACATTTACAACTGGACTCAGGGGAACTGCTGGCATAGATAATGGAGGCGCACACTCGTACATACAAATACACATGCAGCTCCGCATGTGTACACACACTCGTCTTAAAAGACATGCACACAGATACCAAAAAACACACACACACACACACACACACACACACACACACACACACACACAGGGTGGTGAGGGCCAACCCTCTCTGAGTAAAAAGACATTGCTCACTCCCAAAGAATCTGACTCAGCAATATGTCAGAGAAGAGGGGGAAAAAAATCTTCAATTATGTAGAAAGCCTTTCTGTAAATCTCTGCTTGGCAGTACTAGACACACACACTGTTCTAATACACACACACACACACACACACACATAATGAATGGATGTGCATGCGCGCACGTACACACACACCACAAAAGAACATGATGGGAAAGACAAGTAGCCATTGTTTGATATTCTGATGGGTGGGGTTAAGTGCTCGGATCAAGGTTCATCCACACACACACCCACACACACACACAAACAGAAGCTTTCCTAAAGGATGGGACGCTCCGAAGACGGTGACATAAAGAGCTTATGTGAACATCCCAATAAATATAAGACCAAACTGTCATGACTGGTTAAAATCTGTCATCATAGCTCAATAATACTGAATTTACTGGGGTGTGGAAGGAACCAGAAGCCGGCGTGAAGCTGGGCTTTGCATTACAGGTGTGTATATGCATGTGTGAGTTCTACAGTACAGTGCGTCTAAGACTAAAATGATCCAACCTGGAAAAAGGGAAGGAGATATTTTGCTTTTTTTTTTTTCTCCACAGATCACTCTAAAATTTCCTTCCTCAGCTCATAAATTTTTCATTTTTGGAAGCACATACACCAGAAAAAAAAGAAACTGTCACTGTAGAGGCTGTGCATGTGCATGTGTGTGTGTGTGTGCGTGCGTGTGTGTGTGTGTGTGTGTGTGTATGAGAGAGAGAGAGAGAGACAGCTGGGGGAAACAGAAGGAGTCAGGAACCAGCAGCAGTGAGCATGGAAAAGAGGTGCAAGTGATGAGTAACAGAGGAAGAGGGGAGGAGAGGAGAGGAGGCATGGTAACGAAAAAAGAACAAAAACATTTACGGACCCACGCACAGGGCCTCAGGGTGGGAAAAGAAAAAAAACTGCAACCATGTGTAGGAATTGGGAGGGAGAGAGAGAGAGAGAGAGATAGAGAGAGAGAGATTCTGCCTCATTGTGGTAGCTGCTGCTCGGCTCAAACTGTACAATGCAAGATTTAGGGTAAAAAATATATCCTTTTTTATCATCCTTAAATCATATAGCTGAGAATAAATTGAAAAGAGGGCTTAACTGAGGACAGAACAGACAGCAGTGAACAGTTTGTGTGGAGGGGGGGTGGGTAAGTAGGGGGGGGGGTGGTTGGGGAAGTGAATGATTTACAGGATGTCAGCAGTCGTCCACTCTGCCTGCTGAGTTCTGGAGGCCTGTGAACAATGTGTGACCCTCAACAGCCGTTTTCTGTGCCACAAAACTCTCCGCTCCATCTGATTTCAAAAAAAAAAAAAAATTGCTCCTCTGAGGTTTCTGTTGCTTGTTCGTTTTTGTCTCCATCTTTTCTCGTATCGTGTTTCTCCCACACACCTCACTTGTCAATCAGAGAGTAAATGGAAAACACATCACTTCCTGTGTGCCACAGGAGGTTTGTGGGGAACTCCGGGTGTTTCATAAATGACATATAAGTTAAATGACTACAGCGTCCGGCAGATGTATAAACTGCTGGATCATCTCAGGTATGTTGTTGGCTCTGCATCTCTGAAAGTGAACTCACATTTACGTTGCATTATGTGTGGTTAACACGGTTGTGTTAAATATTGATGCTATAATGGCAGATGTTCATTTATGAGCGTCTATGTGTCTTTAAATGTGCATTACGCTGTCCGGAGAGGTGGTAAAAGGCCATAATGCTGATGTTCTGCTCTTAATATTTCATCTCACTCCAGCTGGAGCGCAGAGCAATTCATCCAGCGCATGAACACACAAACACACACACAAATCATTGCGGTGACAGCGTGGCCTAACTTGAGTTTATAGAGCCATGATTACCGTGGTGTGTGTGTGTGCGTGTGTGTGGGTGTCTTTGAGAGTATACATTTATATCTGTGGTTTGCTTGGTGTGCGAGCGTGTGTGTCTGAATGTGTGCGTCCGCGCTTGTATAGAAGAGCTTGAGCGTGTTGCGCTGCACAGCCCAGTCATCCTGTCGAGGCACAGAGGGAGTGGTAAGCAGTGAGAGTCCATATGTGTGTGTGTGTCTCTCCAGTGCTACCTCACATCTGGATAACAGACCACGCTGGAAAGTGAACAAACCAGCTCTCTCTCTCTCTCTCTCTGTGTGGGGACGCATTCCTTCAAACCGAACCCCGTCCACTCCCTGCTGATGTTAACACTTGTTGTCGGAGCTCACACAAGGCCGCTCTCCCAGGTGAAACAATATCAGCAAAGGAAACGTAACCGCAAAACTTCCAGGTTCAAGACTTCACTGCATCATTTTCCCTTTTCCTCTGCCAGCACTGTCTGTCTCTTTTCACCTCCGCCAGACTCTAATGACTCTCATGCATATCTAATGCGCGCCTCACTTTTTCTGTGGAGCCACCTTCCTCAAGGTCCATTCGGTTCTGTTTAGATCACTTGAGTTCATTACAGTGCCGGGTAAATTATTCAGCCTGGAATACTATAGGCAGCAAATTATCATATGGAAAATGATTCATATAATAAGCAACAGCAGGGCGTCCTACCTGGAAGGTCACAGCCCAGTATCTCCACTCGCATGCCGATCCCCGCCGGCGACCACCTCTCTGGATACAGCCTGATGTACTGCGCCACCGTCTCGTCAAAATGGCGCAGCTCCGGGGTGTCGTAGTGTGTGTTCCCCTCGAAAATCTGCACAGGATACACAAGCTGTAATAGGTGCTGAGACACAACACAATCTCAACACAATCTCATCCTCCTCCTCCTCCTCCTCCTCCTCCTCCTCTACCCACCTTCGGCAGGCTGGTCTTCTTGTCCATGACGAAATTCCACTCTTTTCCATTCAGGCTGTGCGCCACTTTGTACTTCCGCACAAACGCCCGGTTATCTGTGGTCGCCCCACTTCCAGCGTCTCCTCCTCTCGCCCCCTGGGTGATCACACCACGCACCGTCTTCGCCACACCAAGGTCCACCTGAAGAGATTAGATTGAGATGAGTGCACCATAGAAAACAAAAAAAAAAAAAAATGCTGCTGTGCTGAAGCCAAAACAACACAACAGTTACTCTTTCTGGCGCCCACTCAGGCTAATGTGCTGCTAGTTTTATATGCTAATGTGTGGAAGTGAATGTTAAGTGATTCATGATTCATTTATATTAACATAAAAAAGGTGCAGTAATATCAACTGGAAACGCAGAGCCAAAATGTGCAATAAAACGATATTCAAATCGTCTCACACCTGTAGCCACTCCTCTCCCGCCAGAGGCTGTGCAGGGGCGGGAAACCAGCCGGAGCGACTGGCCACCAGACGGGCGGTCCCGGGATTCCACACCATGTCCCTGCTGGAGGAGGCTGAGATCTGTGCATCAGGTAGCAGGCCGGACAGCAGGCCCTGCAGGTCTGAGCATGGAGCATCTGGAGCAGGAAGCAGAGAGGGGGGCAGAGATTACTTTAACCTTCACCTTGGGAGGCGACAGGAGAGGTGGGGGTGGGGGGGGTTGAGTTTGGGTGGACGGAGACGTTTCAGCGACGACCTAACATACACTCACGCTGTTACACATATCCCCACCTGGGAGCTGTTAAGCTTCACCGCAGGATTGCACTACTGGCCACTGAGCATTAAGAGTTTAGACGAACAGGAGAGGGAGAGGTGAGAGGCGAGGGAAGGAGGGAAGGAAAGGAAAGGAAAGGAGCACTACTGCTGCTCTCACATCTCACACAAATATTTAAGTGTCTTGCATTGTACCTGTGTTCACTGGGCTGCACACATTTTTTACGTGCATTCACTAACTGCGGGAAAGTTCCACGTACACGTAGAAGCACTTTGGGAAAGAAACTCATTCAGATATGGAAAGGCAAGCAGCGCTGAAAGTAACTTGCTGAGGGACTATGTGAGAGGGAGAAATGAGGATTAAGGGGATAAGAAAGGTATAATATGAGGAGCTGGGAGGCAGAGAAGAAGAGCGCGGAAAGAGAAGAGGGAAAAAAAAAAAAGCAAGAGAGAGGGACTCGGAGCTGAAGACGACAGCATGGGGAGGCTGGGAGAAGGAGCGCACAAGACGACACTCCTACAGAGGCAAACGGGAGGAGAGAGAAAGGATGGAGGCAGGAGGGGCGCAAGACGAGCGTGGAGGGTGGTGGGAGGTGGGGAGAACTTAAGGAAGAGGAAGAGAGGGAGACACAGAGGAAGTGAGAGGGGGAGATGTTAGTTGTGCTGACGGTTTAAGAGAACACAGATCAAAGTTTCATGCTGTTATGTCACTGCAAAAGCAGGAGATGTAAATAATGAATAAAAGGCACAGGAAGTGTGTGTGTGTGTGTGTGTGTGCGCTCCGGTGGGTGGTGTCTGTGTACATTTCAACGGGTGTGCCTGCTTTTGAGGTCATCTGCTATATTTAGAAAGCGCCGGCGTGCCGGTGTACCTGTACTGTAAAAGCTAATAGTTATTTCAATAGCAGCTGTTGAGGCTGCGGCGAATCACAGTTTCTGATGTAAGAGTGAACGGGGGAGCCATGAATGATTGATCGGCACTCATTTCCCGATATAGAGCAAAGAGGACACATCAAAAAATAAAAAAGACAAGAGGCAGAGAGAGCGAGCGCGGAGGGGAAGCGGGAGAGCTTCGAGATTGGGAACCGACACTGCCGCTGCCTCTGGAAGAATAGAGAAGTTGCCTTTCATTAGCCTGAGGGTTTGCTATGTTTAAAAGATAGCATGGGCGGCATGGGAGAAGGCATAAACACACATGTATGAGTATGTATGAGCAGCAATGTGTGTGTTCCCTTTTATGGTTTAGGAAGTTATGTTTTGCTGATGTTCAAAGTTATTTTTACTTGGCAAGACAATGGAAAAGAGAGACCTGACCACAGTGTAGCTGTTTTAAATCCCTAAATCGCCACAGTGGACAGAAAGGGATTTCTCCTCCTCTCCCTCATCACCGCTTTTAACTTGCCCTTTAAAAAAAAGAAACCGAGCTCAAAAGTACAGCAGAGAACTGTTGTTGTTTCTGTTCAAACTGTCTGAATGTGAAGCAGGATGATACCGGCAAAGGTTAGAAAAGGAAAAGGTTAGAAAAGTCTAAAACACACACACACACACACCTGTAATCTGGCATCCGTAGAGCTCGAAGCGCAGGGCGATGCCGTTCCTCCAGGTCTGAGGTCGGATGCGAACGAACCGCGCCAAGACTGGCTGCGGGACCCGGTTCAGAACCACCTCAGCCGGGTCTGTGTTGGCGTGGAAAATCTGGGGGAACAAGGACAAACAGGAGACAAAGGTTGGTTACTGTCAGAGGGTGATGTACTGTACCTGCCTGTATGCTTGTGCTTGTCTTATCTCTCTCTTTCTCACACATACACACTATCTCTTGCTCCACACCCACCCGCAGTGCACGGTTTCGCTTGGCTACACACACACACACACACACACATAGTGCCAGGCCGGACAAAGCAGAGACAACCCAAACACGGATCCAATGTCACCAGCCCAGCTGTCGATGTGTTTTGGGGTCAAAGGTTCGGCGCTGGGAGGCTGGGAAAGCCCGACGATGGATGAGGGTTTCTCTCTCCTCCTCCTCCTCCTCCTCACACACTGCTTACTCATCCACCAACTTCCATTCACCTCTCCCCACTGGTGGTCATCAGGAAGCCGCTGCGGGGGGAGACGTGACCTGACACGGCCAAACATGACCGGCCTTCAGACGCAGGAAGTGTGTCCAGGTGGGCAGGATGTGAGTGAAATTCACTTCCTGAGGCATCTGCCAAAAACCATCAACAGTCACTTCATGAACACTCCCTTCCTTCCATTTGCTCTTAAAAGACCGGCCGCGGCAGCAGGGGGGGGGGGGGGGGGGGGGGGGGGGGGGGGCAAATGTAACCAGGGTGGTCAGTTACTTTCTGTTTTGGGCAGTTGGATGACAGACACGAATCTTCCTTTCTGTCCTTTTTGTGGTAGAAATGTTTTTTTTTCCAAACCCCATAACTCCAAGTTTGTAATTATGATCAACTTCCTCCTTCCTTCTCCACCTCATTCTCGCCTCCTCTCTCCGTCTGTCTGTCTGTCTCCACCACATCCCTCTGGATCCCTCCATCTCAACACCTCCGTTCTCTCCTTAAACCTCCTCTTCAAGACCACAGCACAGCTGATATCTCTCTCTCTTTCTTCCTCTCGGTGGCAGCGGCTACTAACTGAAACCACACACACAAAAGACACAGGAAACCACACACGCACACACACACTCACACACTCAGATAAGCAGAGGAAGCGTCTTTTAACTGAGTGAGTGACTGTTAAGTGTCATTCACTCTCTCTCTCTCTCGGTCTGTGGTCGACCGGGCCGGGCTGAGCGGCTGCTGAACGACGGATATCAGAGAAAAAACCACGGCGACTAACATCGCTGCCGCACGACGCAGCGGAAAGATGGGAAGACAACAGCTACAAGCAGCTGAATTAAAGATTAAAGGCATCACGATTTTCCCTTTTACTCTAATCCAGACACACCATGATCAAACCCAAGCACGCTCCCGTTGCCTAAAAATTTGATTCCCTCTTCTTTTGATAAGGTTGTTTTTCATTATAAGTCATAAACTGTCTGCTTTCATTTGAATTTTAAAAATATTGGTGTAAAGTGACCCATTTGTAAAGTTCCCTGCTTTGTCAAAATAATATGATATTCCAGAAATTCCGTAACCAGTGGGAATGGGAGTGATATGATTTCAAAATCCTACTCGAGGGGGTTTATTTGATTTTGGGCATGGCCTGATTTAATCAAGTGGAGCTGACACTGGTAATACAAAGCAGCATGAGTGTTTGAACAGATAAGCGGGGGCTATCTCTGCTGGATCTGCTGCTGGATGGAGGATAGACAGCCGTCATGTTTACCTAAGAGGCCAAACAGTGGATGCGGGCTCTTATGGGGGTTATGTAAACACCCACGCACGCTCATACAAACCAACCTGTCTTCACTACTCTGATATTCTGTGTGTGTGAGACAACGAGCGGCGGGGAGGGGGGGGGCTGAAAATGACTGCAGGGAGGATGAGTCCTCAGAAGAGGAGTTAAAAACAGATGACGAGAGGGGCGGAGGCGGGAGCGAGAGAGCGAGGGAAGGGAAAGAAGAGGTTGAATGGAGGGCAGCAGATACAACTAAATGAGGAATATGAAGAGGAGGCAGGGAGTGGTGGCGAGTGGGAGGGGAGGAACAACGAAGACATTCATCACGAAACAGGAAGTAGTCCATCCAAGCGTTTATGTCATTATAAAACCAAACAACAGCAAAAATTCAATGGAATTTCCTCAATTTTGAAATAAATTGCTCTCACAATTTCACATGATTGGACAGACATCATGATTTGAGCGTCAGCCCTCCCAAGATATCAAAGCGCCGGTAAACTGTTGCCAAAAGCATCAACTTTTATGATAAAAAATAAATTGTCAAGTGAAAAATGGTGTAAACACGACATGATCAGGCCCACGGACACTTTCAAAAGTAGAAAGTTAGGAAACCGTCTGTAGAATATTGGTCCATTACAACTTCCCAGAAATGTCTTGCCCACCATGACTAAGAGGCCATTAGCTGGTGCATTATAATACTGACAGCTGCTTTTCTTTGTTTCCATCTTTGGATAAAAGCAGGGAATATGGCCAACATTAATGACACAAAAAGAACAATGTGTTCAATGTGAATCTGGCACTCCTCATTCGTCTTTCTAGGATGTGAGAGCACATTTTTAAGGAAGAGAAACTGAGACAATGAGAAGTTGTTCGTTGGCTCTCAGCTTCTTATGTCCCCTTCCACTTCCTCCCATCTATTGTCAGACTACCTGAAAGGTCCCTCATGTGACCCCTGAGCCATTGCCTTGGAGGTTAAAGGTCAACGGCCTTAGGAAGCAGATGGTTGGTCATTGACCAACTTGTTGATAACGTGGTTACTTTTTCACCGACCAGGAATGTCCAGCGGGCAGTGGCGTGCAGATGTGCTACCAGTCTGCCGTCTGGCCCACGTCTGTAATCTGCCTGACGACCGCCATGTTTTTCATTTTTGCTTGTATATGTGTGTGTGTCTATGTGACCCCCCCCCCCACGTGACGTTTATGCGAGGTGGGCTGAATAATTAACGTTGTCATGTTGTGTATCCTGGTGTGGAGAGTCATGAAATTATAACGAAGCTGCCGCTCACAGTCTAAAGCCCCACACACACACACACGCGTAGCAGCCTGCGACGGTCAGACTCCTCTGTGTGGACGCTGGCGGGACGCAGGCACCACGGGTATTTAACTATTGATGACCTCTCCGGAGAACGAGGTCACGGTGAAAGGCGTCTGCGAGTGTTTTCGTCAACAGCCCGGGGCAGCGCACAGAGTGAAAAAGAAGCTATTGTCCATCTAATCGCTTGTTAAGGCGAAGAACATTTGTTCTGAGGAAAATGAGGCGTGGATAAATGTACACATCACGGCTTGATTCATTTACCATCTCTCTCTCCTCTCTGTGTTTTTGGCACGTCTCCTTCCTCTGCCAGTGTTTTCCTTCAAGCTGATGGCACCACGGGGAGAAGTGGGGAGCTCTGCACAAGACATTATTCATTTCCCGGCCGTTTTCTTTTTTCTTTTCTTTTCTTTTTTTCCATCTACGTGTTTTTCCCCCGATCCCAGTCTCTTTCTCTGCCCATTGCACTCCTCATCCTCCTCTTCTTGCTCTAGTTATTCCCTCTGTCTCGCTCTTTCTTTCTAGCCATTACCCCCCCTGTCCATCTTTTGCTCCAGACGTCCAAACGCGCCCAAAACCCCCCCCCCCCCCCCCCCTGCACTCTTCTCGGCTCTCGGAATGAAGATGTTGACAGTAGGAACTGGTTCCAGCTGGCCGCTCTCCACTACTGCCTCTAAGAGGGGCTAGCAGTGTGTGTGTGTGTGTGTGTGTGTGTGTGTGTGTGTGTGTGTGTGTGTGTGAGTGAGCTAAGGTTGCCTTACACCACCTTATGCTGAAGTCTTCCACTTTGTAGCTGTGTTAGCAGTTGTGGTCCGACTCTGCCTGTGTGCATGTGTGTGTGTGTGTGTGTGTGTGTGTGTGTGTGAGACTCCTCACCTGTGTGTGTGTGTGTGAGTGTGCACATGCAGCTTCATGTCATAAAGAATGAGTGACTGAAAAAACAAAGCTTTTGTGTGTGTGTTCGTATGTGAGTGTGTGGCACTGTGATGGAGGAGCAGGCTGAAATGCTGTGTGGGCTGTTTTTTCACTCCCAGGTTACTTTGTGTGTGTGCGTGTGCGTGTGTGTGTGTTGAACAGATATAGCATAGCCTCACAGTGCTTTGCTATCACTGGGGCTGATGGGATTTTCTTCACAGACGTATGACAGAGTGTCTTTAATGTTAATTTGTTTTGGGTGTTTGGGTGGATAAAAAAAAATCATTGTGTGTTTGTATCCATGTTTGTGTGTGTGTGTGTGTGTGTGTGTGTGTGTGTGTGTGTGTGTGTGTGTGTGTGTGTGTGTGTGTGTGTGTGAGTGTGTGTGGGTGTGTGAGAGAGAGAGAGAGATAGATATGCGATTCCTAAGTGTGCTCTTGTCTCATCAAGTAATGAGTTGCATATGTGAGTAGTGTGATTTAGAATTAACAAGTCACATGGGTGTCAAACTGAAAATGTGTTGGTATGCAGAAAATGTGTCAAAAAAATCTCACACACACACACACACACACACACACACACACACACACTCACACTCACACTCACACTCACACTCACACTACACCCTTACACACATGGACAAAGCCTGTTTGCTGGTGTGACTGAGGTGATTGCAATCTGCAGTGCTGGTGTTTTTCTTTTCACACTGCACTTTCATTTCTTTCCAAAACAAAAAAACCCTCTTTCCCACAATTCCTCTCCCTCTCTCTCTCTCTCTCTCTCTCTCTCTCTCTCTCTCTCTCTCTCTCTGCCTGCCTCCTCTTGCTGTCAAATAATCTTTATTGGCATTAAATCCTTCGGTCTTTGTTAACACAGCAAATAAGGACACAAATCTTGACAATGAATGGGATCGCGCTCTCTCCCAATAACAAACACGGTGAGGTAAGAAGTGCCAAAGCCAATCCTTTTACTCATGGGTGATTCACATCTGATGCACAGACACACTCACGGCTCAACCTTCCACAAACACCACCGACACATGCACGCAACAGTCTTTCAAAGCCACATTAGCTTCAAACTCTCTGTTAAATGACAATTAGAAGAACCAAATCCCAGTTATTACAGGACCCCCTGATGAGCATTGAGCTTCAACCACTTAAGGGCTCTTTGGGGGGCTTAGGATGGGCTAACTGGGAGTTTGTACGACATGACTGGTGGATTAGCAGTCACGGAAGATTCAACTGCAGCCCCCCAGGACCTGAGGAGAACCTGGCTCACGGAGAGAGTGAAGAACAGAGCGAAATCCTCACTAATAAAAAAAAAAAGAAAAAAAGAAAACAGGCCAGGCTGGAATCACGACCGCAAATTGTGCTTCATTTGTCAAAGGCGTTATCCCTAAATCCAATCCATCCATCACTGCCTGTGGTCGGCAGAAACACAAAGAGAAAGTTTGATCCGACCTAAGCTGAGACGCCTTGCCTCTATATTATACATCACAGACTGTGAACGCACAAGAAATCCTCGAGGATTTTGGGCATAATTCGAGAGCACATGGAGTAAATGTTGTAACTTGTCATCTTTTCTTATCAACATCCAAAACAGATGGTATACCTAATCACATCTATATTTTCTGTAGATAAAGTTATATCCCATTGGTAAAGGTATCAAGCATTATTTCCTGCTTTCAGTTTGGCTCTGAGGAATATCTATAATCTGACATGTTTTATTGATCTTTCATCTTCCTGTCGGACTAGCTGCAAACATAACCAGTTTAAAACTTCCAAAGCGAACACTCCCAGAACAAGCGATATCCCTCCCAGATGCATGTTGGTGCATCTGTCTGCGTCCATGTCTGAAAGTGTCTGAGCAGTTTTTTTTTTTCTCTTTGCTCAGACAGATTAGTGGACTCAGATTACACAGTACAGACAGACAGGCCCACATCATATACATATGCGCACACACGCACAGACGTCCAGACAGAGAGATCAGCCAGAGGTTGTTTAAAGGGGAGGTTTTCTACATGTGTGTGTGTGGATGGGGTCGGGGGCTGTCGGGGGGGGGTCTAATAAATTGCACAGATGTTGACTTTTTAAGTCAAATCCACGTTTCGCTCAATAATCTCCGCATCAAATACCCCCCACCGGCCCCACCCAAACCAATCACTGGGACACACAGAAGGGGAGTCCCAGTCCGTGTGGGGAAGTGTGTGGATTAACCCCCCCCCCACTCTTACCACTCTCTATTCACTTTTTCTGCTCGAAATCCACAGTGACCTTAACCCAGATGTGAGGGACAGAGTTCAAATCCCCCGGAGACGGGTTTACTGTAGGTCGCACCATGACGACAACAACAACCTGCACTGTACGCACAGTCATACACAAGCCTGTGTGTGAACCCCCCCCCCCCCAAGTTACACACAAACAAACAAGGATGGACACAGTGAGGCTCATTCATAGCACTAAACGACACCAATTACAGGAAATAACGTTGATATGAACCTCTTTAGCAAACTTGCTCAGTCCACACGTGGTGCGACTCCCACCGGTTTCACAAGCCCATGTGTGTGTTTGTGTGTGCACGCAGTGGTGTGAGAGAGATGATGAATAGCAAGCCCAGATAAGGGCACATAGAGGACTCCATTGTTCTTGTTTGTCAGTTTACTCTATCTCTATCTCTTCCTCCCTCCCATTCCCTTTCTCTCTCTCTCTCTCTCTCTACCTCATGACCAGGGTCATGACTCAGGTTCACACACAGTCCTGTGAGGGGGAAAGACTCTTTCAGGAACGTTGCATCCACTGATACTGCTCTGGGATGCACACAATGAATCATAATAGAGGTTCGAGAAAGTGCGGCAGGAGTTCAAATCATCGGCTCCATTTCGCCTCTTTGTCTCTTGTTCGCATCACGTAAATCTAGTTTGGCCGGTTCTTATAAAAGCCTACCTTGTGGTTCTTGCCATGCCGGTACACCATCCAGTCTTCTCCGTTGGTGCTGACCTCCAGTTTGAAGGTGGTGACGTAGTAGGACTTCTGAGTCTCTTTAGAAACGGCCCCTTGTGTGGAAATGCCCGTCAAAACCTTCAGGAACTGGAGGTCAACCTGGAATTTAAAAGAAAAAGAAGAAGAAATGATTTAATACTTGATTATATTGGATATATATATATATATTGGATATATATATATATATATATATATATCAAAATAACTGAATAGAACAAACGTAGTAGGGATTTATGGGGCTCAGGGTTGATGTAGATAACAGAACCGGAGCAGCTGCTGTGAGTATCTGTCACACAGACAGCAGGGGATGGACACCGACTGTGGCCTACTGCTGAGGAAGCCTAGGTGGTGTGTTTATGTGTGTGTCTGTGTGTGTGAGAGTGTCTGCGCATTTGTCGTGTGTGTGAGGGGAGGAAAGGCTGGAGGCAAAGATCAATGGCGCAGTGTTCGGATGCATTCCTGAAGAGCACCTTCATCAATCACGGGGCTTCTCGCCGCTCTTCTCGCCCGCTCGCGTGTGTGTATTTGTGTGTGTGTGTGTGTGCCTATGTATGCATACGTACGCCTGGACCCATGTGTATGTGTTTGAGACAGGAAAGATTGAGAGCACAGAAGCACTTCCTTATCATCAGTTCACAGTTCCTCCATTTCCTTTATATGCCTGTGTGTGTGTTTGTGTGTGTGTGTGTGTGTGTGTCCTCTCTATGTACAAGATGCTGTTGCCTGGTGCATCTTCTTCCTTTACACTAATACCACTGAGACAAATTCTCGACATTTATTATCCTCAGCAAACGAAAGTAATGTTGATTCAGATTCATCTTCCTCTGTGCACTCACAGCTGGAATTATTAGCAACTGCATTTAAAGGTCATAAAAGCTTTTGGTTGATACTTGTAAACAGGAAATGCAGGTTGAACTCTGTAACGTCTAAAACACACTTGTGCATACCTGTATATACTCCTTGTTGCTGTCCTCTGATGGCGTCCAGGCGTTGTCGTCGTTGTTGAGGCGGGCCTGCCGCGGCAACCAGCGGCTGTCGTAGAAGGTGGTGGAAGCGGTGATCTGGTCGTCGCTGATCTTCCCCGACTCCATGCCGAGGGCCATGCTACAGTGGAATGCTGGCGGGAGAGAAGCGGAGGGGTTCACTCAATGTTTGTCGACGCAGAGTCGAGACGGAAGATGAAGAAGGGAGGAAAGAAAAAGCTTGAATAGGATGGGTGGCACTTTTTTAGAAAGAGACGGAGAGGGGAGATCTGAAGAGCAGAGAATGGAGCTTGAAGACAGAGACGAAAAAAGGTAAATCCAGACAGAGAAAGGGCAGAGGGAGACAGAGAGCAGCCCAACAGGTGAGAGGAGGCAAATTGAGGTGAAGTTAATTTTTATTCTAAAAGAAAATACTATGAGTCGGCTTCTGAGAAATCATGCTCCCTTAGGAGAGAGCAAAATAGGCTGAGAGGGGTGAGAGGGAACTTTGAGATTGAAATAGCATTAAAGTAGGTAAAGCTGGAAAGATCGAGAGGGTAAGAGGAGTGAAAGAGGAGGAAAGAAAGACGAGTGTCGGCAGAGATGATGGAGGACAAGCGGCTGAAAGGAGAGAAAATGGAGATGGGAATAAAAACAGGTAAACAAACCTACACAGAGAGTGTTTGAAGGCACGCACACACACGCACACACACACACACACACACACACACACACACACACGCACACACACACACACACACACTAAAAGTTATCTCTCACTCACAGTCGGTGACTTCTTTGTGGGTCATGTTGTAGCGGGCAGAGAAGCCGTCTTTGGCCACGGCCATGTCGGTGTGGAAGGAGAGGGACAGCAGGCCGGAGGACGACTGGATCTCTGGAGGGATCTTTGTCCCGCAGTACCGGCCAATCAGAGGAGACACTGCAGACACACACACACATAAATCAGGTTCATGTAAACATATGTTGTTGTTTTTGGATCACAGGTTGTAATAGTTTAATTTTAAGTCATTTTCAGGGTGATATTGCAATAAAAGCATTTTTTGTTTGTGCTTTTATTTTTTTAAATCCGAGGAGTTTCTGGTTTTTGCAGCAAAAACATGAAATATTTTGTCTTGCAGCATCCTCAGGAACAGTGCAGAGACAGGTTTCCAGTGGCCACGCTGCTTCAGTAAGTGTTGTCTAATGAGTCACAGCGTGCGTCCCCGCCCCCCTCCCTCCACCCCCCCCATCTCTCTTCCTCCCATCATTCCTCTTTCTCCCTTTTCTCTCCTGTCCATCCCTCCATCTGCCGTGAGTGTCTCAGCCAGGGCCCAGCAGGGGGATTGGAATCCCTGCCTTAATGCAAGCTGCACTGGCATCAGCTGGAGACAGACAGACACACACACACACACACACACACGCACGCACAGACAGACACACACGCACTAGTGAGGATTACAATAGTCTCAAGAGTAGCTCCGTTGCCAGACACCAAATTCTTCACCCTTCCGTCTTGTCTCCCATCCCTCTTTCATGCCCGAGGACTCGGCTCACTGGAACTGGGTTACACTTTAATTTCCTCCTAATTCACAACTTTGAATGGTATAAATTGTTTTCAGCTATCAAAGCTCCCAAATTCAAGGCTATAATTGGAATTTTAAATCCACTTGGATCCCTTTTTAGCAACTGAAAATAGAATAATTAGAGCAAATCCTCAGTTCTCTGCTTCATTTTTTTTCTTTTTTAAAAAAGGGAGGTGGTGCTGGTGGCGGTGGTGGTGGTGGGGGGGGAGTCAGCAAGAGAGAGGTGGGAAGTGAACCACTCACCACCACTAATGTGCTTTTCAACAGCACCACAGCAGCTAACATTACCCTATGGCGGTCACCATCAAAGCCCCTTGATAACATCCTCAAATGTTTTTTTTTTTCCTCGCCACTTCCTGATCGCAGCCGATAGGCCACTTCGGCGACACATCGGCACCTCCCATTGGTTTACAAACAGATATTCATCGTGGCCGTCACTCTCACTCACCCGGGGGAGGAAGGAAGCGCTAGGTGATAAGAAGGGAGGACAGAGGAGGATAGGAAGGAGGGGGGGTGATGAAGGGGGGTTATTATGGAGAGGGAAGAGGGGCATGGGAAAGGGCTGCTCCTTAGGGGTGTTGAAGCACTTTCAGCTCCCCGTGTAATAACGTTTCCTCTATGTAATGTAAAGGAATGTAAGGCAACACTGCTTACATCAAAGAGAGCCAAGGCTGCTCAGGAAATTGAAGGCTGGTATGTAAATGTGTGTGGGAATGTGTGCATATGTGTGTGTGTGTGGAGGGGGCTGTAACGATTTTTGTAGCATGCGTGTGTCCATGCACCTTCATAAAGTGAGAGTATGTGTGTGTGTGCGTGCTTGCGCCCTCACCTTGTGGCAGACCATCCCACACGTCCAGCCAGTCGTACTTGCAGTCGCCCTCTCCCACCAGCAGGGGGTCGTTCTCCAGGTCAAAGGTCAGGAACGTGAGGGTGATGTCCATGCGGGGCGGGGCGATGATCATGTAGGAGCACTCCAGGTTGTGAGGGTATTTATCCGGGAACCCCGGGGACTCGATCATGCCGGAGGAGCTGGTGAAGTTGCGGAAGCAGAATTCTGACCCTGAGCGGGAAACAAGGATAAGAGGAGATTTAGAAATGAATAAGCAAATCGGTCATATTGGGAGAAGATACAGGCATAAGCAATCGATCACAGAGGGATATCTCATCTGACTTGCAGAGGGTGTTTCAGAGAGTCGTTTATCACTGACAGCAGGCTGGAATATACAGGAGCTGTGGTGGTAAATGGCACAAACACACACACACACACACACACACACACTTTATGATGACCGATGGAGGAGAAAATACACAGTGAGCAAATGCTCAAGTAGGCACGTCTAACGCTGCATCGTGTTATACCAGCATGCTGATGACTCTTTTTCGTTAGCCGGCCCCCCTCCTCATATGCATGACGTTACATAATATGACACATTCAATGACACGCACTTATGCGAGGCTAAAGAGGGGAGCAGACTGACCCCTGCTCTGTTGCATATATTCAAAACAAATATTCTCTCCTCCCCTCTTTTTCTTTTTTTGCACTCCCTCTCTGAGTGTGTGTGTGTGTGTCTCTCTGTGTCTCACACATACAGACACTCAAATGCACACACACACCGCAAATGTTGTAAAAATGGTTCTAAGTGGGCCCTTTGCGGTGGCTTCCTCATCAGCCATGCAGATTTATGCGCCCTGGGCGGCTCACCTTGAGCGGCGGCAGCTGTGTGGCTCAGATCATCTACCCATCAGCCACTGCTCCGCGGCCCACCGGGGAGCCTGTCACAGACGAGTGTTTACGGACTGGCACATCAATGAGGGTGCTGACGGTCCAGCACACACACTCACACACGCAATCACAAAACAGACAAGGGACTTTACACAAATGTCACACACACACATACACTCCCATTCACAATCCCGGGCTATTTTCTCACTCTGTCCGTTTGCCTTCTCCTCAAACACTTCTATCTTTATATGTGGGCTATAAACAGTCTGTCTGGTTGCCATTCAGCATCTCTTTCTATTTTTACACTTGCCAGAAGGGCAAATATCTTCCTGCGATAATGTTGCTAAGAGACTGCAGCATCTTTATTAGATCTTTGTTTAACTGCACATGTCAGAAATGCCTGTGGTAGCGGCCTTCCTCAACCGACTGATGGTGCTTATTTATTAACACACTTGCACTGGATGTTGTCATTTCCAACATCTCTGCAGTTGACTGACTGGTAGGAAACACATCTCATACGTATTCCTTTGCCAAGAAACTCTTTAACTGGCTAGCATATAACTAGCATAAGGAAAAACAGTCTGTTTCGTGCGGTGTTTTCCCATCGCCGAGTGTGCTGGAAGGCAGACAGGGAGGTCATGTTGAGGGGACTCATGGGAGAAGCTTCTGGTGGATTTCAAAACCTGGGAATCCAGCATCTCTGCAATGTGTCAGAGAACTGCCAGGCTGCGTTTGATAACCACATACATATTCAGAAAAAGCAGCGTTCAGGAACACAGACATGTTAACAGCACATTCCTTCTGCAGCATTCCTCCGAGGCACCAGTCCTTATTATCAGGCAGCCCTATAAAAGCAGAGGGGTCGACTGACTGCTCCGGCCCTCCCCTGTCTGCACTTGCTTAATGGCAGGGAACTGACCCCAATCAGCACGGAGAGAGGGAGGGAAAACTCAGGAGATATACACTGTCTGTGTCTCTCTTGCTTTGTTTTTCCTCTTTTCTCCAGCAGCTTCCTTTTATCTATTTTTTCTCGCTTTTCCTGCTTCATCGTCCTTAAAAAAAACTTTCTTTCCTTCATTCACTGCACGTGCGCCCTGTATGAGCGCACGCGCAAAAAGTGCACGTGCTGGCGTGTACCTGTCAGTCTATTGACCTATTTTGTGCGCATGTTGTGCAGAGGGTGTTGACACAAATGTACGAATCTTCCCCCCTACATGTTAAAAGCAGCGCTGAACCTCTTGTGTCGACTCCCACACGCGCCGCAACATCAAAAACACCAGTGGATCATCTGCCTTCATGCTTGGAGCCCTGGCTGCCTACACACACACACACACACACACACACACACACACACACACACACACACACACACACACACACACACACACACACACAGAACTAGGCATGTTGAAATATGATGGTAATTTAAAGCGAGCTACCGGCGATATCGCCCCTATTCTACTAGTACTGACCTCACCTCTCTGTGTTAACTGTGTGTTGTGAGTGTGTGTGTGTGTCGGCACTGTGCATGAGCGAGCAGCATAAAATCAGAGTAAACACGAATGCTATGAATCCATTAAAGCAATAACGTGCATGTGATTGTAATGTAGCTATAACAAAACAATGAACTATGCAGTATGTGTGAGCAATATGCATCCCTTTGCATGAGTATGTGTTTTTTGTGTGTGTGTTTTTGTGTGTGTGTGTGTGTGTATTCCTTTTATGAACCTCCTTGTGTGTATTTTTTTTTGCTGCTGGAATCTTTGTCTGCGTGTGTGTGTGTGTGTGTGTGTGTGCCTGTGTCTGAAGGTGTGTGTGACAGCTTCCCAGTATGTGTGAGACCCACTAACACACTGGCCTTGTTTCTTTTTGGGTCACAGTGCAGCAGTCTGGAGTCCTACTGCTTCGAAACTTCAATCTGAGCACAGCTTGACTCCATCGCCTCCAAACACACCGCTCTGTGTTTCCACTGTGTGTTTTACACTCAGTGTGCAAGAACTAGGAGCTTCACACACACACACACACACACACTCGGTGCTGCCACGTGCCAATGCTGTGTGCATGCATGTGTTCATACGTTTCCGTGTGCACGCTAGTCTGTGTTTGCGTATGCATGAGTACCTTCTCTTTTCGTTAGCGCTCATTAGTTCACAGTATATGAACATGCCAAAAACAAGTCCCCCCCCCTGCACGCTAGTCTGTGTTTGCGTATGCATGAGTACCTTCTCTTTTCGTTAGCGCTCATTAGTTCACAGTATATGAACATGCCAAAAACAAGTCCCCCCCCC